AGAAGAACGATAATTGCTCATGTTTATTTCCAATTTGCTCATGATTATGCTTAAGATAGATAGGTATACATATCCTGAAACACAAAATTAGGTCAAATTTGGCAGACCATCGTGCTAAGACAACATTTGAATAAACACTTATAAATTAATAACTTAACGAAGTGGGATATGTTCATGCATCAACATTAATACTCTCAGTATGTAGGTATAAAAAAGGAAATGTTTCAATTCCACTGTCGTAAAGGATTTCATCAAAATGACCATTTTTTTTATTTCCTTCACGTTCCCAGTGGAACATAGGGCTTCAAGCTGGATGCTTGAAGTTTCTGTAGCGGTGTTTATTTTTACAGGATGGGGTGGCTGGCCTCATGCCCAACCTTCCCTCTTTACCACTCTTATAACTGGCTAAGTGAGGTAAAGGAGTGAGTCGACCAGGTATCGAACCCCGGAACATGTGCATGGTCGGCGAGCATGCTAACTGCTGTGCCACCAACGCACAAATACACCGTTGTACACAAACCAGTTGGCGTGTTATTATAAGGTCGAAATATAAGTCACGAATCGCATGTATTTTCGTCGAATGCAGTGAATGTAAAAATATGTGTTGTTGAATACGTGTCGTGATTACATGAGAGCAATGGGGAAAACACATTGTAAACAGAGCCTAACCGATTCAGAATAATTCTTCATAACGAATCATTTATTCATTGAATGAAGCTTTCACGGGCAATTTCCAACGGCCTAACATGCAGTCAACATGATACTCCTCAATCGAATCACTTCCATTTTGATGATTATTGACCACAAAATTTCGGATTACGAAACTCCATTTCAGTGGAAATTTGGCTCATTGACTTAAGCTTTAGACATACAGTTTGTGCGTCAGATCTCACTTCATTTACTTAAGACTCGTCAGATGGGTTGTATCATTATCTCTCACACAATGAACATAGCACACAGTGGATATTGGCTAAACGACTTCCAAACAAATAACCAACTTTTCAAATTGTATCCACATACGATGAGTCACATATGCATTCGTGTTTCCGTGATATTATTCATCTCGTGGTGACAACCAAAGCATTTCAAATGTTACATAACGACTGAAAAAACTTTCATTTATCTCGTAGCGACTGCAGAATACCTTGGGGAAAGACTGTCCACTGACGTCGATAATTCATAACATTGTATGACGCTAAGTTGTGTTCACCAATAAACTCCCAAGATACCATGCCTAACATAAAATAGGGGCAGATTGGTGAGTGAAAACACCTATTAAGTCATTCACTATTCAAAGATTTAAAATCCACTATTAATTACACAGTACACGGTTGACCGAGAATAAGGAAAATCCATTTAGACAATCATGACAAATTAGAGCTGAAACGATCAAGGATCTACAGAGAATGAGATGTTACTGTATATGGCATTATTATATGGTCAGCTTCCCGAACGAACAAACATCGACTAATCAGAACTTAAGCCAGAAAATAGCCAGCAAACTGGAAATGCTGTCAGGTGTTTCCCAAATGAGCAACAGGGTCATGCTTAGATAAATGTCCAGTCAGCTTCTTGCCAAATTTGGATCGAAAGTCTTCATCAGTCTGTGATAACTTCGCAGTTACTCATTTCCTAACTTCATTCAATCGCAGGAATACATGTTTATGAACTACAGAGGAATCGAAATCCACTTGACTATTGCGGAAGCAGTAGATACAACTAACCTTGCTCTACTGTAGATGACTCAAGGCGAAACAGCCTATGTAGGCCCCATAGTGCCTTCATTGTCGTGTATTTCAAGTAAAATATCTGAGTATCTCAAGAAATATGCTACGAGACATTAAAGAGAGGCGAATTTAGGTACACCCAACACACATTTCTGAAAGACCTCAGCTATTCCAATATAGCATCACAACCATATGTAAAAATGAATAGCTTTCAGCTTCGGACAGTCAGTGCTTTTGGCGAAAACTCACATTCTGATTCGTCCAAAATACACTCAGCTAATGTGTAACTTGGAAGTGTGAAGCGGCAAGTATAAGTCTTAACGTCATTCAACGCTCTTACACATAACTAAGGCTAAAACATTGACGAAACGAACAAAACTGGTGGGAACAAATATTTCATCGTCACTTGTGGATGTAAGCTGTGAAACCACATGTACTTGCATAATTGTACCTATAACCATTCGATTTAAAATTCATCAAGTGATATGGGATTTCCATAGTGAGTCTCAACCAACCGCGTACTGCAAAAGTTTAATCCTCAAAAACAAGGCTTTACATTCCAAAATAAATAAATAAATCTAGTATTTAAGACGAAATTAATCATACTCTGAAAACAAATGAATCGCGAAATGAAATCGAGTGATTTCAGAATTAGCGAAAATATCACAAAAAGATCAACATCCAAATGATCTACTTATCCGGTATAGCAGATATCGCAGTGATCATCAGAACACCTCTAACATCGAAAACCAAAAACACAATGACACGTCTATGGCAATCGTCAAACTGCCACCAAGTATCACATAGAAGAACATACTGATAAAATGATGCGAGAGATGCCTGATAATGTAAAGCTAATAAAAATAACAAAATTATAATTGCCACAAAAATTAACAAAGCCTCTTCACACACAAAAGAATATACATTCTACAAAAAGGATTCAAAAGAACGATTCGAATGAAATCTAAGTGTTTCATCATGAGCTGACATTAGTTAGAGAACCATTAAATCTAAGTGTATTCGAGTCTCTTTCAGTGTCAACCTGCCGAACAAATATTCCCCCAGTCCACTGCCATACTTCTTCACCTGAGACACATAATCGGCGAGTTGCTTGAGTATATTCTTATCGTAAGCGGAGAGTTATTCATAGATGAACAATGTTTCACTCAGCCAGGGGATCCCAATCAGTGCAGGCCACACAATAACTTGTTGGCCAGATACTTGGTCCAACAGGTCACACAACAAATTTACTTCATAATTTAAAGTCGAAAAGTTATTCGAAGTATACACACTAAGCGGGGTGAAAATTGCCCGAAATATGCTTTCGAAACCTGCCAGAATACCGGCGCTGTAAAGTGAATTAGAAAACTGAGCGGAGTCAAAGAGTGTACGCTACGAAAAGGTTTGGCCCGAAACCAGCGAAAATGTCCCTCCGTGTTTAAATCACCTCGATCAGGCTGGTCACCAAGCACTAATGGGTGATAAGAGTAGGATGGAACTACTCATTTCAAACAATCAACACTACACAGGTTCCCGTAAATTGGATCGCTCTCTTCATTACCGTTCATGCTATCAAGCAGACCAGACACTGTGATCAGGAAAACTTGGTTTCCGTAGCAAAATGCGATAAAGTTTCACCTCACAAAGTGTGTAGATTGCAAGCTGATAACCGAGTGAAAATTGTGAATACACGAAACGCAATACCGATGATCACAGACCCATATGTAGCCCATCATCATTCCTCAGTACAAAATACAGTCGAGACACCTGATCTGACAAAATCTCTAATTCTCAGAATACACACAGATTTCTGAAATACAAACCAGAAACAGAAGACTAAACTAGGTGTTGTCCAAAGACTCATTTCAAATTGACATTTAGGTCGGTCCAGCAAAGTGTAATTGATGCACACCAAAGGAATCATAGGGAAAAAATAAATCCAGTGATGAAGATGAAACTAGTCACAATTCCTCAAAAACAAGCAACTGGAAATGCTGTCAGCTGATTTCAGAATGGGTGTAACTAGCGCGATAAGAAAAGAGTCTACACAAGGTCACTATCAGGTAATGCAGCAATCGAAATAAAACTCGGTTGTAAACTCCCATTGACAACTTGATGGAAAATGATGCCTTCCCTTATTCACCGGCCTGCTGTCATAAGTTGTACAAAAATAAGCAGCTAAAACTGGTGTCAGCCGATCTCAGAATGAGTAGAACTGTCAAGTTCAAATAAATATCTAGTCAAAATTACACTAAATTTGAAACTGATGAATTCAACGCAGAACAAGAGAACCGATTCCCATTCAGCTATCCGCCTCAATTATATGAGTGCAGCAGTGCATGAAATAAATTTGGTAGTGAGGCCAAAACCACAGCGATAGGTAAGTATTTCATTCACAGCTGAAATCTTCCCACCTAGAAACAGATACAGGCTTATGGGTGAATGCACTGACAGAGATATTCACTAGTCTACAGCCATCAGTCATCAAGATGTAACTCTCCATTAATACACACATAGATATGCCTGGTGATGAAAAGCTAATAAAATTATACTTTATTAATGATGAATATTATTAAAATTTATTTGACACGGAAATTAACAAACCATCCTCCTCACATACAAACTAATATACACTGTTCAACACGGATTCAAAGCAATGAAACGACTCGAATGAAATCTCAGTGAATTCCAGCCTCCTTCAGTGTCAACTTGTCGAACAAATATTCACCCAGTCCAGGGCCAACCCTCTTCGCCTGAGTCACATAGTCGGCGAGTTGCTTGATTCCATCCTCCTGTTCATGTAGGTATTCACTCTCGATGAAGTCAGCCAATCCCGGATCATTGTTCTTCGAAGCCAGTTCATCGAGTTTCAATAGTGACTGTGAGTAGACGGTACAGACGAGGAGAAGAAGAAGAGCAAGAAAAGAAGATTAGGGAGAGGAATATATGATTTACGATATGCTATGCATGTGTGAGCAGGTGTGGATGTATGTGAGACGGCCTGGAAGAATACTATTAACATACGAAATTATTATTATTATCATTTGTGAGGTGCGTGGATGATTGGTGAATGTGTTGTGTATTGTACGTGTAACAGTGAGATGACTAGGCCGACGAAATGCAAAGATCAAACAATTGTTAAACATATACATGATGATAATCACCTCGACTGTGATTCATGTGCTGTGAACTGCAAGTGTACTCTGTGTTCACGTCTACCATGCAAATGAGGAAGTCACTCAAACGCAATTCACTAAGCCGAGAGCGACTGGATTAGTTGCACGAATTCAACAGTGTAGAGGATACAGTCATCGTGTGCAATTTAGGCGGATAACTCCGTCCAAAAATACTATTAATATTCGTGTTGACTGATTCACTCACCTCATTCACTGCCTTCTCCATTGCAAGAGCTGTGTTCATCGCATCCTCCACACCCGTGAACTCCGTCTTACATGGAGCCTTGATGTCACTGTACTCAACACGACCACCACGCTTAATCAAATACTCGGCCAATTTCTCAGCGTGCTCACGTTCCTCGAGTGACGCGTTTCGGAAGAATTCAGCTGCATTGGGGAGGGCGACATCATCTCGATCGAAGTAGGTGGAGAAAGCCATGTATTCGTATGCAGCCTGCAATTCCATGTTGATCTGTTTGTTCAGCGCTTCTTCACATTCCTTGGTGAAATTCTGTCTGGCTCGTGATTCACTCATTCTCCTGGTTGACACTGAAAGCACAATGAAACACACACACACAGTGAAACAGAGAAACAAGCTGGCTGGCTGGCTGGCTGAATGACTGACTGACTGACTGACTGGTTGTCTGATCGAGTCTGGCTGTGTCACAGACTGACTCACACAAACTGACTGGCTGATTCAGTCTGAGTTGATTTGTGGTGTGGCTTTTATTCTTTCTGGACAAGCATTCACATGATCAGCGTAATTCACGTATACAGAGAATTGAATTGTGTGAAAGAGATTAAATCACATGCTATGAGTTGTATTCATTTGAGGTCAGCAGTAGTGGTGTGAGTGATCTAATTGGTGTTTTTGTGAAAGTGTGTCTGTATGTGTCTGTGCGTGTGTGTGTGATTGTGATAGTGATGGTGATTGGAAGGTGAAGCAGCTAGCTGATTCACCATGTTTTCACGTACTTTCACGTACATGAGAAATTTTCACCACCACAATTCGGCTTCGTAATATCACCGATTGGTTTTCGTGTTTCTTCAGTGAGAAATTCGTGATCTGAATGTGTCGTATTTTCGGGAGATGACTTTCCCATATGAGAATTTGATCATGTGGAATGGTTGTGCAATTTCGTTGTGATTTCATCCACACCTGTACACTGGTTTGTGTAACTGAGTAGAATGAATTATGACTTGGCTAGTTGAGTTTTCTTTGGGGGTGTGGGTGGGTTTTATTGATTTGTTTTCTACCACTCTGATATGATGTCTTTTGTAACAACTAAGAATTCGACTCTCCACTCTCAACGATTCAGTCTGTCGAGCATTCACATATTGATGTCATGTTCTGTATTCAAACAGAGGAGAACTATTTCGTCACATCTCGCGCCAATTCCTCTGAGACGTGCAGTATCCATGGAACTTTTGATGAAATATTCCAATGTATGCAGGAGTATGAGGAACAGATTTCTCCTCATGAAAATAATGCTTCCTTTGAACGATCTCATCTGAGTGTAGTGAACACACATCTTGTGTGGCTGACTTATTCGTGATATAATGAAATCGCTGACTGTCTCGACGTGTGAATTACAAATTGATATTTTTGTCCACCTATCGTTGTATCTGTTGTTTCGTATATCAGTGTGAATCACATTTGATTTTTTCGCCATCTTGTTCTTAGAAAAGGCATGATAGAATAAATTACTTTCTTTTTTTAAAGGTGAAAATAGGATGACCTAATTCTTGAATTTTCATATCTGCTGTGTGATAATTCTGAATGGAGTCACTTATGATACAGAAATCCATACCGATGAATTTAATCATTGACAAAGTTTACGTATGCATCATTCACGTATACAGAGGGTATTAACGTCTTATGAAGAAAACGTCAAACTCTGTATTTAGTATACATTTTGAATATTCTTTTCACAATCTTAGTAGTGGTAATGTTGTTTCTGCCTAATTTTATTCCACTTTACTTTGTCTTCTCAATTGTCCTTGGCATCGTCACTGTTTTTTGGCTTTTAGACATCATCTGGGCTATACTTTACTTCCTATTGTCAGCTACATTCTTCCACAACTTGTGTTTCATCCGTCTCTACTCCTACAATTATCTCAACTAACTCTTATCACTTAGCGATACTTTAAGGCCAATAAATGTAAAACAGAATAATTGATTGGAACTGAGAGTAACACTGATCAGGAATAATGTAAGTTGTTGAATAATTAGGATTGAAAGCGTCCGACAATTTATGGAAGAATCGCATGACTAAGCTTGGAAGCAAAAGGACAGAGTTCAACAATCGTTTTGTGGGTAGAAATAAAGTTTAACTGGAGAGTGTATAAACGGTTATAGGTTAAGTAACCACAGAAAGACAAGCTTCTATGAAACAGACAAAAGACGGGGGTAGGATGAGTCAGGTTTAGACGAAAAATTCAAGGTTTCTAAGCAGAACAGAAGATGACATAGTGAAGTTTATGCGCTTTATTACCATCAAGACAGTGCAAGATTCACCACTGTCTCTTTCTGTGTACATAGATCTAGTTTTACCCATTTGATGGCAATCGCCACAGCAAAACGAAGCAGGCTAGGTTTCTTTTGTCTGCTGATTATTTTGGACACACTTACATTATACACAACATGGCCAGTGTCTAGTAAATGGAGTGAAATCGCACTGTTTAATGCTAATAGGCCCTTTAGTCTCAGGTTCTTTGGTATGTATCCAGCGATGCGGACAATAACTCTTCTCTCTGTTCTCCGAATGTATGTGCTTTGGCGCGTACATGTAAATTGGCATACGCATTTGGAGGTAACATGAGGTGAGAGTTTGTCCCCTTTTGTCTGTCTTAAACAATAGGTCGTCTAATCGGCAAATATAAGCTTGGCACCTGGATATGTTCTTTTTAGGGTAGCATGCAGAATGCATCTTATTCTACCAGTGGTATCGTCACCTTGCAAGGAATTCTGTAGGAAGACGAAATTTTCCTCTACTGTACTATGCTTCACCTTGTCAACACTACGTTTTCCATGTTTGTAGATGAACATCTGCAGGTGAATATTATTACACATGCAGTTTTCAACAACAAATAGTTCTTCCCGACTCTTTCTTCCAAAAACCTTTCCTTACACGATCGAACAGTGTTCTCGCCAATTCCTGGTTGTAACTTATACAGCAGAAGCTTTTGAACTTCAGGTAAATCTCTCTACAGGTCTCTTTTCTATAGATGTACCTCATGATTTTACCATCTATATCATGTTTGATGCCAAAGTCGAAAAAGTGAAACTTGTCCTCATCTTCGCACTCCGTTTTTAACTTCATATTAGTTTGAGCACCATTCAGGACGTGTAATATTTGAGAAGCGTCATTAAAACAATCAAAAATGACGAACGTGTCATCGATATACCTCGTATATAAGTCTATCTGATCGATTGAGGCGTTCATTTTTGTTCGTCCCAGGTTGGCCATAAAAATCTCTGCCAGAATCAGGCCCAGCGAACTCCCCATGGCGACTCCATCAATTTGGCGGTAAATAACATTGGAGCCTACATAATCCAGATTACCTTATTATTCGGCTTACCGTAGGCGAATAAACCCTATGTTCATATAAGACCAGTACTATCCACGGTCGATTCTACTTATCACAAAGTAGTTCGGTGGTTAGCATAACTGTTGGAGCAAATTCTTGCTAAGTAAGCTGTCTATATGTTGAAGGACACCTTTCAGTTCGCTAAAGAGTTAGACAACTTAGATATCTCAGATGAATTCATGGTGTCTGTTGACGTTTCTTCTCTGTTTACAAGGATCATGCGAGAAGAAACAATACAAATTACACTTCAGTATGCAGATCTCATTCCTCTGCAAAAGAACAAACTGATATAACTGCTACCAATGTATACTAAGCACAAAGATTTTCAACTAAACAATGTTATTTACCGCCAAATTGATGGAGTCGCCATGGGGAGTTCGCTGGGCCTGATTCTGGCAGAGATTTTTATGGCCAACCTGGAACGAACAAAAATGAACGCCTCAATCGATCAGATAGACTTATATACGAGGTATGTCGATGACACGTTCGTCATTTTTGATTGTTTTAATGACGCCTCTCAAATATTACACGTCCTGAATGGTGCTCAAACTAATATGAAGTTAAAAACGGAGTGCGAAGATGAGGACAAGTTTCACTTTTTCGACTTTGGCATCGAACATGATATAGATGGTAAAATCATGAGGTACATCTATAGAAAAGAGACCTGTAGAGAGATTTACCTGAAGTTCAAAAGCTTCTGCTGTATAAGTTACAACCAGGAATTGGCGAGAACACTGTTCGATCGTGTAAAGAAAAATTGTTCACCAGAAAACTTTGCGTGTAAAAATTATTTTTATTGCTTAAAAATACTCAACGTATCGACAATACGTGAAGGCTCATTGGATGGAATCGTTGATAACGGAGAAACGTATTCTGAATAATATCAGAATTCATCAACTCAGTATGGTAGAAAAGAATGCCACATCTCACCGTTAAACCCACCCCCAACCACAGAGGCAACTCAACTGGCCTAGTCCTAATTCATTCTACTCAGTCACACAAACCAGTAATCAGGTGTGGATGAAATCACAACGAAATTGCACAACCATTCCACATGATCAAATTCTCATATGGGAAAGTCATCTCCCGAAAATACGACACATTCAGATCACGAATTTCTCACTGAAGAAACACGAAAACCAATCGGTGATATTACGAAGCCGAATTGTGGTGGTGAAAATTTCTCATGTACGTGAAAGTACGTGAAAACATGGTGAATCAGCTAGCTGCTTCACCTTCCAATCACCATCACTATCACAATCACACACACGCACAGACACATACAGACACACTTTCACAAAAACACCAATTAGATCACTCACACCACTACTGCTGACCTCAAATGAATACAACTCATAGCATGTGATTTAATCTCTTTCACACAATTCAATTCTCTGTATACGTGAATTACGCTGATCATGTGAATGCTTGTCCAGAAAGAATAAAAGCCACACCACAAATCAACTCAGACTGAATCAGCCAGTCAGTTTGTGTGAGTCAGTCTGTGACACAGCCAGACTCGATCAGACAACCAGTCAGTCAGTCAGTCAGTCATTCAGCCAGCCAGCCAGCCAGCTTGTTTCTCTGTTTCACTGTGTGTGTGTGTGTTTCATTGTGCTTTCAGTGTCAACCAGGAGAATGAGTGAATCACGAGCCAGACAGAATTTCACCAAGGAATGTGAAGAAGCGCTGAACAAACAGATCAACATGGAATTGCAGGCTGCATACGAATACATGGCTTTCTCCACCTACTTCGATCGAGATGATGTCGCCCTCCCCAATGCAGCTGAATTCTTCCGAAACGCGTCACTCGAGGAACGTGAGCACGCTGAGAAATTGGCCGAGTATTTGATTAAGCGTGGTGGTCGTGTTGAGTACAGTGACATCAAGGCTCCATGTAAGACGGAGTTCACGGGTGTGGAGGATGCGATGAACACAGCTCTTGCAATGGAGAAGGCAGTGAATGAGGTGAGTGAATCAGTCAACACGAATATTAATAGTATTTTTGGACGGAGTTATCCGCCTGAATTGCACACAATGACTGTATCCTCTACACTGTTGTATTCGTGCAACTAATCCAGTCGCTCTCGGCTTAGTGAATTGCGTTTGAGTGACTTCCTCATTTGCATGGTAGACGTGAACACAGAGTACACTTGCAGTTCACAGCACATGAATCACAGTCGAGGTGATTATCATCATGTATATGTTTAACAATTGTTTGATCTTTGCATTTCGTCGGCCTAGTCATCTCACTGTTACACGTACAATACACAACACATTCACCAATCATCCACGCACCTCACAAATGATAATAATAATAATTTCGTATGTTAATAGTATTCTTCCAGGCCGTCTCACATACATCCACACCTGCTCACACATGCATAGCATATCGTAAATCATATATTCCTCTCCCTAATCTTCTTTTTCTTGCTCTTCTTCTTCTCCTCGTCTGTACCGTCTACTCACAGTCACTATTGAAACTCGATGAACTGGCTTCGAAGAACAATGATCCGGGATTGGCTGACTTCATCGAGAGTGAATACCTACATGAACAGGAGGATGGAATCAAGCAACTCGCCGACTATGTGACTCAGGCCAAGAGGGTTGGCCCTGGACTGGGTGAATATTTGTTCGACAAGTTGACACTGAAGGAGGCTGGAATTCACTGAGATTTCATTCGAGTCGTTTCATTGCTTTGAATCCGTGTTGAACAGTGTATATTAGTTTGTATGTGAGGAGGATGGTTTGTTAATTTCCATGTCAAATAAATTTTAATAATATTCATCATTAATAAAGTATAATTTTATTAGCTTTTCATCACCAGGCATATCTATGTGTGTATTAATGGAGAGTTACATCTTGATGACTGATGGCTGTAGACTAGTGAATATCTCTGTCAGTTCATTCACCCATAAGCCTGTATCTGTTTCTAGGTGGGAAGATTTCAGCTGTGAATGAAATACTTACCTATCGCTGTGATTTTGGCCTCACTTTTAAATTTATTTCATGCACTGCTGCACTCATATAATTGAGGCGGATAGCTGAATGGGAATCGGTTCTCTTGTTCTGCGTTGAATTCATCAGTTTCAAATTTAGTGTAATTTTGACTAGATATTTATTTGAACTTGACAGTTCTACTCATTCTGAGATCGGCTGACACCAGTTTTAGCTGCTTATTTTTGTACAACTTATGACAGCAGGCCGGTGAATAAGGGAAGGCATCATTTTCCATCAAGTTGTCAATGGGAGTTTACAACCGAGTTTTATTTCGATTGCTGCATTACCTGATAGTGACCTTGTGTAGACTCTTTTCTTATCGCGCTAGTTACACCCATTCTGAAATCAGCTGACAGCATTTCCAGTTGCTTGTTTTTGAGGAATTGTGACTAGTTTCATCTTCATCACTGGATTTATTTTTTCCCTATGATTCCTTTGGTGTGCATCAATTACACTTTGCTGGACCGACCTAAATGTCAATTTGAAATGAGTCTTTGGACAACACCTAGTTTAGTCTTCTGTTTCTGGTTTGTATTTCAGAAATCTGTGTGTATTCTGAGAATTAGAGATTTTGTCAGATCAGGTGTCTCGACTGTATTTTGTACTGAAGAATGATGATGGGCTACATATGGGTCTGTGATCATCGGTATTGCGTTTCGTGTATTCACAATTTTCACTCGGTTATCAGCTTGCAATCTACACACTTTGTGAGGTGAAACTTTATCGCATTTTGCTACGGAAACCAAGTTTTCCTGATCACAGTGTCTGGTCTGCTTGATAGCATGAACGGTAATGAAGAGAGCGATCCAATTTACGGGAACCTGTGTAGTGTTGATTGTTTGAAATGAGTAGTTCCATCCTACTCTTATCACCCATTAGTGCTTGGTGACCAGCCTGATCGAGGTGATTTAAACACGGAGGGACATTTTCGCTGGTTTCGGGCCAAACCTTTTCGTAGCGTACACTCTTTGACTCCGCTCAGTTTTCTAATTCACTTTACAGCGCCGGTATTCTGGCAGGTTTCGAAAGCATATTTCGGGCAATTTTCACCCCGCTTAGTGTGTATACTTCGAATAACTTTTCGACTTTAAATTATGAAGTAAATTTGTTGTGTGACCTGTTGGACCAAGTATCTGGCCAACAAGTTATTGTGTGGCCTGCACTGATTGGGATCCCCTGGCTGAGTGAAACATTGTTCATCTATGAATAACTCTCCGCTTACGATAAGAATATACTCAAGCAACTCGCCGATTATGTGTCTCAGGTGAAGAAGTATGGCAGTGGACTGGGGGAATATTTGTTCGGCAGGTTGACACTGAAAGAGACTCGAATACACTTAGATTTAATGGTTCTCTAACTAATGTCAGCTCATGATGAAACACTTAGATTTCATTCGAATCGTATCTTTTGAATCCTTTTTGTAGAATGTATATTCTTTTGTGTGTGAAGAGGCTTTGTTAATTTTTGTGGCAATTATAATTTTGTTATTTTTATTAGCTTTACATTATCAGGCATCTCTCGCATCATTTTATCAGTATATTCTTCTATGTGATACTTGGTGGCAGTTTGACGATTGCCATAGACGTGTCATTGTGTTTTTGGTTTTCGATGTTAGAGGTGTTCTGATGATCACTGCGATATCTGCTATACCGGATAAGTAGATCATTTGGATGTTGATCTTTTTGTGATATTTTCGCTAATTCTGAAATCACTCGATTTCATTTCGCGATTCATTTGTTTTCAGAGTATGATTAATTTCGTCTTAAATACTAGATTTATTTATTTATTTTGGAATGTAAAGCCTTGTTTTTGAGGATTAAACTTTTGCAGTACGCGGTTGGTTGAGACTCACTATGGAAATCCCATATCACTTGATGAATTTTAAATCGAATGGTTATAGGTACAATTATGCAAGTACATGTGGTTTCACAGCTTACATCCACAAGTGACGATGAAATATTTGTTCCCACCAGTTTTGTTCGTTTCGTCAATGTTTTAGCCTTAGTTATGTGTAAGAGCGTTGAATGACGTTAAGACTTATACTTGCCGCTTCACACTTCCAAGTTACACATTAGCTGAGTGTATTTTGGACGAATCAGAATGTGAGTTTTCGCCAAAAGCACTGACTGTTCGAAGCTGAAAGCTATTCATTTTTACATATGGTTGTGATGCTATATTGGAATAGCTGAGGTCTTTCAGAAATGTGTGTTGGGTGTACCTAAATTCGCCTCTCTTTAATGTCTCGTAGCATATTTCTTGAGATAATCAGATATTTTACTTGAAATACACGACAATGAAGGCACTATGGGGCCTACATAGGCTGTTTCGCCTTGAGTCATCTACAGTAGAGCAAGGTTAGTTGTATCTACTGCTTCCGCAATAGTCAAGTGGATTTCGATTCCTCTGTAGTTCATAAACATGTATTCCTGCGATTGAATGAAGTTAGGAAATGAGTAACTGCGAAGTTATCACAGACTGATGAAGACTTTCGATCCAAATTTGGCAAGAAGCTGACTGGACATTTATCTAAGCATGACCCTGTTGCTCATTTGGGAAACACCTGACAGCATTTCCAGTTTGCTGGCTATTTTCTGGCTTAAGTTCTGATTAGTCGATGTTTGTTCGTTCGGGAAGCTGACCATATAATAATGCCATATACAGTAACATCTCATTCTCTGTAGATCCTTGATCGTTTCAGCTCTAATTTGTCATGATTGTCTAAATGGATTTTCCTTATTCTCGGTCAACCGTGTACTGTGTAATTAATAGTGGATTTTAAATCTTTGAATAGTGAATGACTTAATAGGTGTTTTCACTCACCAATCTGCCCCTATTTTATGTTAGGCATGGTATCTTGGGAGTTTATTGGTGAACACAACTTAGCGTCATACAATGTTATGAATTATCGACGTCAGTGGACAGTCTTTCCCCAAGGTATTCTGCAGTCGCTACGAGATAAATGAAAGTTTTTTCAGTCGTTATGTAACATTTGAAATGCTTTGGTTGTCACCACGAGATGAATAATATCACGGAAACACGAATGCATATGTGACTCATCGTATGTGGATACAATTTGAAAAGTTGGTTATTTGTTTGGAAGTCGTTTAGCCAATATCCACTGTGTGCTATGTTCATTGTGTGAGAGATAATGATACAACCCATCTGACGAGTCTTAAGTAAATGAAGTGAGATCTGACGCACAAACTGTATGTCTAAAGCTTAAGTCAATGAGCCAAATTTCCACTGAAATGGAGTTTCGTAATCCGAAATTTTGTGGTCAATAATCATCAAAATGGAAGTGATTCGATTGAGGAGTATCATGTTGACTGCATGTTAGGCCGTTGGAAATTGCCCGTGAAAAGCTTCATTCAATGAATAAATGATTCGTTATGAAGAATTATTCTGAATCGGTTAGGCTCTGTTTACAATGTGTTTTCCCCATTGCTCTCATGTAATCACGACACGTATTCAACAACACATATTTTTACATTCACTGCATTCGACGAAAATACATGCGATTCGTGACTTATATTTCGACCTTATAATAACACGCCAACTGGTTTGTGTACAACGGTGTATTTGTGCGTTGGTGGCACAGCAGTTAGCATGCTCGCCGACCATGCACATGTTCCGGGGTTCGATACCTGGTCGACTCACTCCTTTACCTCACTTAGCCAGTTATAAGAGTGGTAAAGAGGGAAGGTTGGGCATGAGGCCAGCCACCCCATCCTGTAAAAATAAACACCGCTACAGAAACTTCAAGCATCCAGCTTGAAGCCCTATGTTCCACTGGGAACGTGAAGGAAATAAAAAAAATGGTCATTTTGATGAAATCCTTTACGACAGTGGAATTGAAACATTTCCTTTTTTATACCTACATACTGAGAGTATTAATGTTGATGCATGAACATATCCCACTTCGTTAAGTTATTAATTTATAAGTGTTTATTCAAATGTTGTCTTAGCACGATGGTCTGCCAAATTTGACCTAATTTTGTGTTTCAGGATATGTATACCTATCTATCTTAAGCATAATCATGAGCAAATTGGAAATAAACATGAGCAATTATCGTTCT